CAAAAAGTCTTGAAATAATTTCTAAGCTCAACGGCATCAGTTCATTTCAGACAGCACCAAAGCGTGGCCCAGTAATGCAAGAGCTTTTATTGTGTTAGCACACTTGCAGCTCAGAAGGGTATTATTCATAGTGGCAGCAAATTCATAGTAGTTTTTATTTTATCATGATATTATTACCCAAATCCTTAGTATTATTTAGCATTTAGGAGTAATTTCTTTGTCCTGATCTTTTTATAAACATCAACTGATTAATCCTCATTGCACATCTGTGAGAGGGATGTGTAGGTGGTGTCAGAGTTAAATATAGAAGCAGGCTCATTCTCATGATTTTAACTTTCTAAGCCAGAGGAGTTGGTCCATAGAAACATTCAGATTTCTCCCCAGGTCTTCAAAGGCTGCAATGAGAAAAGGTGCCCAAAATCTCCCCTGATTTTCTTAGTTTTCTAGAGGGCACACTTTTTATCCTGCAAAGATCTTGTGACCTCCAAGCATGTCACAAAGCCAGCCCAAGGGACGGGCTTCTCTCGTGATAAGTGAATTTCAGTGCTCCCCTGCTCCCCTGCCAGACCTTTGCCTGCAGGTACTGCGTTCACTGTACAGGTGACCGAAGACTTAGGCCATTTGACCCTCCAGAGCCACCTACAACATGAATAGCTATATTGGTGAGTTTGGGAGTTCAGGAGGTCATGGGGGTGAGGTGAGGTCTCTGCTGATCCGGCCAGCTACTGCAAGGAGTTTTCCACAGGAATTAACCTCAAGGAAGAAAGCCCTTCCAGAGCTGCCATAATCAGAAGTCCAGCCCGAGGGAGACTCTTCCTCCCTCCCCAGGTAGGGGAGCAACCCTGGACTGAACTATATTTGAAGGAAGGCTCACTGACGCAAAGAGAAAGAGAAACTAGAGACTGGGTAGTAAGCAGGAATCTATGGGTAACTGGATTTGATGAACACACTCCTATCTGATCTGATTAGAAACATGTTTTCTCCTTTAGACAGCCAGGGAGGCTGGAACCTAGTGTGCCTGGGCCTACATCTGGTGGAAGGGGGAGCTGCCTTGCCCATGCCAGGGGTTAGGGGGTGGCGCTTTAAGAACACCTTCCTCTAGGCCACATAGGTTCATTGTATTCTTTGTTTTTGTTTTGTTTTAATAACAGAAATCAAGTTGAGAATACTTACAGGGTTGGCTGTTCTCAAAACTAAGTACTGGCTCTTCAGTTCCTTCAGCAGTTATGTTTAGAGGAATGTGAGTCAATATCTTATAGAATTACAGTTACATGGTGGGGGGGTGTGTGAGAAAAAATGAATGCGGAAGAAGCTGGGATTCCTTGAGCTTCCAGGACATACCTCTGAATAAGAACCCCAGGAGTTGTCTTTTTACTGCGATGTTCTAAAGTTTTCCCATCTCAAGGGAGAGAGATATTTATAATGTTTCATGTCATCTAGATTTTTTTTAAAAATCATCTTTTACATAGTCTCAATCCTGGGATTTTTGTCCTACACTTGCATGTAAGGAAATATTCTTTAAATTATTTATTTCCCTGAAAACAAGCTTGAGGCCTTGGACCACTGGAGCCAGAATGCAGCGGGTGGCCCTGTCTTGTGGGCTGTGGTGACAGAGTGTCACTTCCCTGCTCCTTTGTCTCCAGGTGTCTATCAAGCCAGGCAGAAGGAGTGTGCCTGTCCTGTCCTGAAGTTCCTGATTCTGAAGCTCACAGACCTCCTCTGAGTTTCTGGAGTAAACATCTCCCCCCTGGGTCCTGGTTCCTGCATGGTTTTACTCTGGGCTCAGGGCTCTTCTCTGACTAGCCCTACTCGGGTAACCAAGGAAACAGGTTGCTACGGTAACTGGGCCCAGATTGCCTCTCCCAGCGGGAGTCCAGCCAGGAGCAACTGGAGGGAGCTGTGCCCCCTCTGAGATCCCAAGGGTCAGCCCACTTCTGTGCTTTCACATCACCTTCATCTCCTCTTAGCCTGTGGAAATGAAAGGGGCACCCCATCCTCACAGGGCCATCTTAGGTAGTTAGCAGGTGACTTAAGTTTTCCCAGAGGGGCTGCACTTGGGCTGCACCTGGCTCCAAGATGCTGAGTTCCTGGCAGCCAATGGCGGTGGGCGGTAGGCAGGGCCCCACCATGCCTGGCTTGGAAATCGCTGGGCTTGCCAGGCATTCATAGCCAAACCGGCCAGATTTTTGAAAGACACTGTCCCACCCTCCCGTCTGTTGGCATCTCTAATTTTCTGCACACATAGGATGGCAGGGATGATGAGCTCCAGATAGTAAATATAGAATCTAAATGTTTCTAACAACAAATTTGGCAAAGCCACATGGCCTAACAGGCCTTCCCAGGTCTGTGACAGCCAGGATCTTACACAGGATAGGGAATGCCAGGGCCAGGCAAGATCCCAGGGCCTGCTGAGAAGCAGAGAAATGTCCTCTGAGTAGTTTGCGTCGGGGGGAGTGGGAGCCTTTCTGATATTCCTAGGCACCAGACAGGGCTGTGAGATAAAATTCAGGCCTCCAAAGAGTCACACCCTGAGAGTAGCTGAAGCTCTTGTTCACACACATAAATAAATATCTACAACACACGTTTTTTTTTTCTTGTCCCACACACAACATACTGAAAGCAGAAATGGTACATGTTAGTGGCACCTCCCTTCCTCTGCTTTATAATTATGCTTGGAGGAGAAATGAACCAAAAATATCCATTGCACCCTGATATATGTTTGAGTAACTCAGATCTTTTTTCAATAGCTACTGGTCTGTCCCCTGTCTTGCCTGGAGGTCTCTAAGGGGCACCTGGAGAATTACTCATTTGTACCCATCCTATGCTATCAAGGAAGCTTTCTCTGGCAAAAGCAGATGTTATGCAAACTTATTCCTTTTATTGTATTTTCAAACAAAAAATGTCAGTAAATACAGTAACAAAGATTCATATTTCCTGACCCTGAATAAAAATGAAAAAAACAGCCAAGCTACTTAGTAAATGACTAAGAAACAATTTTGAAAATTAATGATACTCTAATAGTTAATTTGAGGAATACAAAAGAAGTGTGGACTGGTCTAGTATAGAGGAACTTCCTAATTTCTTAAGGAAAAAGACCCTATGAATCTAAGAAAAATACACGTACAAAAATAGTGTAATAAGATGCTCACCTGTGTTTCAACCATCTGGAAGGAAGGAACACACATTCCTATTGGCTAGTGAGGATTGGGGACTAAAATAATCTCTCAGATATTTTCCAACTCTGACAGTAGATTGTACATATGGTTTCTGACATTTCACAAAGCATTTGGACAAACAGCCTCAGCTGTCCCAAACATTAAGGCTTTTTTGTAGTAATATTGGTCTTAGAAAAGTGATGGTTTTATCTACTGTAATATTTAGGGACACAAGTAAGTAAAGAGCAAACATCCTAGTCTTAAGGCACTGTGCATTCAGAAAACATCTCTCTGCTGTGTTCCCAAATTCAGCTGGCCTTGAGAGATTAATGCACCTGGCTGTTACATTTATCCTGTACCCAGTTGGAAATGTACTGGCCTTTCTGCAGATGAGATAAATCCTGGGGTAATGTTTATTGTTTTCATTAATGTCCTGTATTTTAAATACTGTAATGTAAAATTAACAAAATTAAATGTTATAAGTCAAGCTATCTTGAGTTACATAATAAAGAAATAAGAGAAAAAGGATATTTGTATATATATCCACATATTATGATAATATAATATATAGTATATATATCTATGTATTTCTCTCTCTCTCTCTCTCTCTCTATATATATACATATATATATATATATGTCATACAATTAAGACTTTGTTATTATTTTTATCTCGACATTAAGTATAGTTTATAAAATGGTGTCAGACTTGGTGCTTTGTTTTGGTAGAGCCTCATTCAGTCTCCTTCTGAACTGAAGAGGTTAAACACACATGCCTAATTGGCAATTGGAAAAATTACCAATCAATTAGAGGCACAGCAAAGGCAGGGAGGACCTAAGGCCCCCCCCCAGGGGTAGTATGGTCTGTTGCCAAACAACAACCCTGGTCAAACCATGGTGAAACCTGTGAGATCATTTCCCTGTTTTTCTGACTCTCAGGGTGAAATCTCTTACACCAAAGTGTGCAGGGTGCTTCTTCTCCATGTAGATGAGAAGCTGACCTGTACTTTCTGCTTTCCTCTGAACCCTGCTGCATTAGTAGTCAGGTTTCCCCCAGGGAAACAGAGCCAATAAGGCATATGTGTGTGTGTGTGTGCTATTGTGTGTGAACACACACCCGCACACACAAGCTGGTGGCCTGGAACAGCAGGTGATACAGTTCCAGTTGGAAGTCACAGGCCCAATACCCAGAACAGCTGGGTTTTTAGCACACATTCACAGGGAGGAATATGCCAAGGCCCAGGTGGAAGGTAAATATTCAGGGTGAGGTCTCTTTTCCTGGGAGAGATCAGCTCTTGTCCCATTCAATATTTCAATTGATTGGATGAGGCCCGCTCTCTCTAGGGAGGGCAGCCTACTGGGCTCAGTCTATCAGGTCAGGTGCTGAGCTTTTCAGGGAACACTCTAAATAGAAAGATGCATGACTATCTGGGCTCTGAGAGCCAGTCAAATTGACATGAAATATTAACATCACACCTGTGTATTGATAGACAATGTCTTTATCTCTAAATGCTCATTTTTCCCATTTCTTCATAACTTGACCCCTATATTTAGACAAATTACTTTCCCCACTCATATTATGAACATAGGTTTTCATTCTTTAACCAGCCCTATTATTTCCAATATGTATTAGAGTATATCCTGAGAATAACAGTTTTTTTTTTTTCTTGGTATTTAAGCACATTGGTCTGCTGGACCATTTGTTCCTGAGCCTTGTAGATCATTTGATGTTTTCAAATTTAAATTTCACTTAACTTTCCACTCCAGCCATTATTTCTCAACCAACTTAAGGGTTACAGTCTTTGTATTTGACCTTAATATTACAACCTGTGAAGAGGTCTTCTGGGTGTGAAATTACATCATGTAGGAGATCCCCTTTGTCCATTATCCTGGGTATTTCAATGACTGAGTTCTCAGAGAGTCAAGTTACTGCAAAGCAGGAGGGGCTGAAGGGTGCTGGGGGAGAAAATAATAGTTTTAAGGCCACCATGGTAATTTCTTCTGCTCTTAATGCCATGGAAAGAGCACCATGAGCGATGGGCAAGAGGTGCTTCTTCCTGGCACCTTGTCAAAGGAAAAATACTTTATGCAAATGGAGATATTCTGTTCCGAGAAATAATAGATCTATAGTGATTTTATTCTTGTGTTTAACTGGACAAGGTTTACCTTTAAAAGATGAGTTGGCTTTTACCAGTACTACTTGTTGAATAAAGAATGAATACCGAGAAGATATTAATTGTATGACATTAAGCTAATAGCAAGCAACCCACATACCATATTTGAGAGGGGTCATTGATAAAATTTGTTAAGGAATAATTGAGTGGGATGAATTGCTTAAATAGGTATTGAAAATGATAAAATAAAGTCAGTGCAGAAGCATAAAAAAGTGGCACCAATGAAATGTTAAAACAGCGACCTTTAACTTTTGGCTTTGCTTTCTACTAGAACGGAAAGCTATTCTACTTAGGAGCTATTTTTTCTTTTAATCATAAATGGGAATGTTTAATGGGTTTCATACACTTTGATTCTGAGAAAGTTATTAACAACAAAGAATATTAGAAATAAAATTAAAACATAAATTTCATTTTTGGCTTTTTTTTTCACTCCCCCAAACTTCATTCATATGTGAAATTATACAAACTATGTGGCTTTCTGGCATGACTTCCTCCTGTCTCATTGGGCAGGAGGTTCTCAGTGTCAGACTCTAGGGCCAGTCCTGAGAGCCACTGATGGAATAGTGTTCACAATGTGTATGGACCAAGTGATGCCAAGTGCAATAGCCACTCAACATACACTGTGCCTTACTTTTGAGCATTTCTCTGGAAAGACCTTAGGGATTTAATGTCAGGTAGCCAATGTTTACTGAATGTTTATTGTATATCAGGCACCTTGGTAAAATCACAAAATGTAAGACACAAGCTTTGCCTTTGCTATTAGCTTGAAGCTTAGCAAGGAAAACAGACAATAGGTTATTATAACATGGAGACATCATACATAGGATGCTATCAGGCACTCAGAACAGTGAGTGCACTGTGTTTAGATTCCTGGGAGAAAACCATCCCGAATCTCCATTTTTCTCTCCATAACAGTTAAGTGTCAATATTTATTCATTGACACATTGAGTAATGGTCTCAGAGTATCCCAAATACCTTCTAATTGTATACTCAGAAAATTCATGGCTAGAAATTCCAATGGGACTGCTCTAAATCAGTGAATTTCTGAATGCAATTCCACATACTCATATTACAATAAGTGCTGCAGATACTTTTGGCTCAGAATGCCACAAGATTATCCTGAATTTGAAATAATTGTAATAATGATTTTTTTTGAGAGGAAAAAGTCAATGAAATAAAACATAGTTTAAAGCAAACCAGAATAACAAAACCATTTCACATTCTATTTCATCTATTAAAATCAGGATTTGAAACCACATGAGGGAGACCTCCAAGCTTTAAAAAAATACTATATATGTATTTTTAATAAGTATATCTCAATATGAAAAAGATATCTGATACAATTATGCATGAATGAAAGAAATTTAGAATTGGTCAATGTCAGTAGATACAATCTAATCAGTATTTCAAAATGGCTAGTTCCCACAGGTAGTATAGTTCCTCAAAGGCATCTTTAATGGCTAAAGGTTTCAAGATTAAAACTCCACTCTTCTGTTAGGAGTAAGATGCAGAGGTTATAGCCAGAGGTGGAGGAGGTTACCTAAGCTGGCTGTCTTGGTCATTAGTCAATTAAAGGAAAGGTGATGGATGCTAAAGTGAATACAGTTTGGAATTAGTCAAATGGCCCAGACTGAAATAAAACATTTAGAGAAAACTCTTGCAAATGTATCTACGGATTATGAATGATGTGGCCTGTGGAAGCACATGTCAATGAGAAATTATAATTATTGGCCCTAGAAGGTGCAATTCTAAGAGGTAACCACATATTCCTCATGTTTTTAATATAATTCTGTTTTAAACTTGTATGTGCTTGCATTTTTATAACGGAACAATCTCAAAACTGTGTCCAGTTCATAAACACTTTTAATGAAGAAATAGTAGTTTTCCAGAGCACTGGACCTGAACAGTATTACCTGAACTTTACATTACACAATGACATATTAAGGACATGGACTTGGCCCAACTTCCTATGTATATATTGAGATGTAAATATGTCTCTCTATTAAATATTTATTGAATCAAAGTTCACTTATAGGTACTTGCTATAGTAGGAAATCAAACGTTTAGTGACCATAACAATGGTAACACATGGTGTCACAGACTGTGGGACAAAGATGAAAGTAAAACACAGGCCTAGATATCATCCATGTGGTGTCTTCTGAAGAACATCATTGGTGAGCTTCACTAGTAAGGCAGGGATAGAATGATAAGAGGCTTAGGTCAGGCCTATCTAGGAATAGAGAAAAAGTATGTGGATGATGCAAATCTCAGCTTGTCTGGGCATGTTGGGAAGAACTATTCTGGTAGTCTTGCTATGAAGGTTAAGGAAGATGGAAGCTGGAGAGTTTCTGGGACTATTCCAGGTAGTAGTTGATAAATGTATTGGCAGTGGGAGTAGAAAATAGCCTAAGAGATATTTTGGATATAGAGTCAATGAATGTTGGCAAATGCAAATTCCAGAGAATGTCATAGCTGATTTAGAATTTGGAGGCCTGAGTTACATGGAGACAGTGCTGGGTCCCTTTCACTTCTGTTTTTTTCCCTGAAGGTCATAGGATACATGATAAGGCACAGGTAAAATCTCTGAAAAGAGAGGCAGGTTTTGTGGCAAAGTCATTGAATCTGTTTCACATATTTGTTTGAAAGTTAGGATGCTGCTGTGGCAGTCCAGCATGCAGCAGAGAACACAGATCTGAAGATGAGGAAAAAGAGGAGGTCTGGGGGAGTAGATCTGGAAACTTGCATATAAGGGTGAGCAGATGGGCAATAAGATCAGATGCACACACCCAGCAGAACTCACAAAGGGAGAAGGGAGATGTCCAGGATGGAATTCCAGGGATATCTCCAAATAAACCATACAAGTATTCAATGCAAAGATCTCTGAGGAAGATCAGGCAGCTAGGTTCGAATGGGACCCAGAAAGCACATCACAGAAGGTTAAGGGAGGAGGAGACATTTTCTAAGAGACAGTTATAGGAATCAATGTTTCAGAGGTTATAAGATGAAACCCCAAGGAAAGTTGATGAATTTGGTAAGTACACTCTGACTGGTGCCCAACAAGAATGCCAAAGGAGAATTTGGCATATGTATCAGAATTTAAAATAAAAAAATTTTGACCAAATATTCCATCTTAGGAAATTTTCATAGGGCATTAGTCATGGGAAATTATTAAAATTAAAGCAACAGGAAGTATGGCATTGCATTCTTTATACTGTTCTTCAATCAGGGATGCTAATACATACACTGAAATTTTGCACAACAATTAAGAATTGAATATGATGGAACAAGTAAAAGTGATACTTATAAGCATAATTGTTAATAAATAAAGATCACTTGGGCTAGAAGAAGAGGGGATGAGTTCCAAGTTCAGAGGTTGCCCCAGGGATGGGTTCTTGCTGCAGTGACCAGGCTGTGCAGCCCCTGGCCTGCATTGATACATCCTTTTTTTCTTATTTAAAGGGACTGATGCAAAATCAGGACAAACCGTCACTCATATGCATTTGACCCCCAGCCTTTGGCCCACGGACTCAGGGATGGTCCTCAGGCTCTCTATTGGACGAATCCTCACTGCTTCCTTTTCTGCTGGTGCCTAGGTTCTGGTGATCACATGTGATGAGGCTATCCTTCCTTCTGTGCCTCTCCAATACTGGATAAGTAATGTACCACTGTCTTTCATCCCACACAGAACCACAGAATTGTAGAGATGAGAAGGATCTGAGTCATGTAGAATCTGGAGTCCAATCTTCTCTGTTAAACTAAGACTCAGAAGAGCAAAATAAAACTACCACATGCACAGAAACTTCTGGGAAAATACCACCAATCATCTCATCAGTGTTGCTTTCACCATGTCCTAACTCCAGTCTCTCTTGGATCCTTAGCACCTGTGTTCTGATCTGACTCTGCTAGGACCCTCTGACCTGCCCACTGGGTCACTACATGACAATGACATTGAACCCTTTAGAACTTTCAATGATAACAAACAGCCGACTGCAGCAGGTGCGCCATAGTTTCACCACCACTGCTGCATATGGACTCTAGCCAGGTCCCTTTGAAATAAGTCAGTCTAGCATCTCTCTGCTGGTCTGATGTGCTACTCCACCTTTCCTGTGGTATGGGTGCTTGGCCTCTCCATCTTTTTATCTCCTTACTGCTCAGTGTCCAGGCTCTATGCTATTACATTATTTTTCCTGCTGCCACTCAATGGCCAGAATCTGGGCTACAACACCTTGTGAACTATTTGCATATTTCATTATTACTTTCAACCTGGGCTACTGGAACATCTCCCTGACTCCAAACCTTCACTGGAGGAAGTAAGAATCCTTCCTTGTGGCTTCTACTGGGCCACCATAGAGTAGAAAGACCCTGCAGTCAGAAACAACATCCAGGAGTAGCTGCAGTAGAGAAGAGTGAGGAGGCCCCGGTGGGGCAGATCTAGGAGCTCTCTGAAGACTCCCTTTCCCAGCTTGTTTTGTTCACTGTTTTCTATTTTTTCTCTTGTGTGCTAGGTTATAACACACAAGCAGATATTTAAAAAAACTTGATGGATTGCAAAATAAACTATCACAACTGACAAAGCTGAAAGAATATCATTTTCAGATACATAGCAGCCAAATTTATACATCAAAGAATGCTATTATTAAGTCAAAGAATGGAGAAAAAGAGATTTCAAATATGTTAGCTCAATCAAATATAGTAGTATAAGAATCTCTACCTACCAGTATCTGAGAGAGTTGTTGGGGAGGCAAACCATATTTACAATTAATGAATAAGATGATAGCTCATGATACATGGTTACGTTAGAGGTTGTCATGACAGAATCTTGCAGAGCAGGTGTGGGTCCAGGATCATGAGCAGCTGAATAACAGTAATTGATTACTGATCAGGCACATGACCAGGACTGTGCTGAGCCCAGGATCTCATCCAGGCCCCTCAGGCAATACTTGAGGCTAATTCTTTCTTCTAGAGAATACAGATAACCCATGACATAAATTTGACCTCCAGATGTATGGTAATCCAAAATCCTGGCCTAAAAGTGCAAAGAACATCCAAAAAATATTAGCCACAGACCTCAGGTGTTGTCCTTATCCATCAAAGGGCAGATCACAGAAGACCAGTTCCCGGTACCTGCAAACACAAGTCACATACAAACAATTCTATTTAATTTCAGTTATACCTTTAAATAATTACTTCATTTTTCTCACTGGAAAATTTTTAACTTTTATTATTCCTAATTTTGATTTTCTTCTCCAACTTTTTTCTTCCAAATTTTATCATCTAGGCTTCTGACTACTAATTATGCATGCAATTATAAAGTATACATTCACCTCCGCAGGTCAGCAGTGCCCTAAACTGGCTTCCTGTCCCATAAGTGATTGTCAAGGTGTTCAATTAAACTGTGTGTGATGGTTTATATCAAGATTGTCCCCCAATCTTGCATTCATAGCTGGGGCTTTTAAAAAAAGACAGAATCATGAAGGAAGGTATAGCTACCTCACTGTTAGGAAGTGAGAGGTCTGTTCAGAAGAGATGGGTCAGTGGGGCTATGACTTGGAAATATGCGTCTCCTACCCTGGATCCTCTCTTTTCACTCTGCTTTCTGGCCACCATGATGTGAACAACTTTCCTCTATCCAAGCCCTTCAGCAATGCTGTTTTTGTGCTTAAACTAGTTGAATATGGCCTAAAACTTCTGGAAATATGGGGCAAACTAACACTCTCCTTTAAGTTGCCTATGTCAGGTATTTTGTCCCAGAAACAAGGAAAATGACTAATACATTGTGTGTAAAGATAGACAAACCTCAGATTTTGGTAGTTTCCAGTTCCTTGGCTTTAGGGAACACATTAAAAAAATTCCAAATTATTCACGGGAAAGAAGAACACCGTTGTTCCTGCAGAGGTTATCTGTAACCTAGGGTGCAGGGCCACCAGATGGGATGGTGTCTTACCTAGGGTGAAGTAAGCAAGGTAGTGAAGAAATGTAGGTTTTCTTACTCCTTGGCACTACAGACCACCTGCACATATCTTTATGGAACATAAAAAGACAAGACCCAACCCTGAATAGTTTACGATCAAATCAGACATAAAGGAAATGGCACCCAGCAGTAAAAACTCCATTTGTGCGGGTATGACCGGTACAGAGACTGGAAGGCAATACTGCTGGAGGAAATTTTAAAAAGAGATTTACAGGACAGGAGAATATGTGTGGCACATAAAAATCCAGGAAGCTGCTTAAAGAAGTGTAGGAAATAGTGTAGAAGAAGGTATAAGGCAGGCAGTGATGAACTGAAGTGATAGAACACAGAATTAACAAGTGATGGATATGACTTGACATAACCAACTGCATTATCTATCAACACATATAAGATATTCATCTTTTAAAATGTTGTTTACCCAAAGGCCTTGGTAGGACTCCCTGACCATTGGGACCATAGCCCATAACTAGTTCCATTTATCCTGATAAAACATTATATTATATTAGAATATTAGGGAAAAAAGTAGTACTTAGTAACTTTGCTCTTTTCTCTGCATTTAGCAGAACTACCACAACTTTTATTTGGTGATGTAACATTTGACCCAATAGAATGGATGCTTGATCTCTGGAAGGACTTCCTGCTGAAGGCCTCATGCCTACCGGAATGATGAACACATCACTTGGTAAATGTCATGATGGATGCTTTCTTCTTATATACTCTGGGTATGGCCATAACTTTTGATTCACTGGAATTCCCAGCCATGAGAATGACTGTTGAAGGGTAGATGATGAGAACCTAAAGGCAGAGATACGCCATGACTAAAATTCTGTCTTTCCGTGTAGATCCTGTGTAAGGTGCCAAGAACAGGAGTCCTGGGTGCTCTGGGGGTCATTGGACTTCCCTGGTGCACATCCTACTCAGGGAACAGAGACAAGGACGCCTTACATGTAGCAAGCCTTACAGGTTGGTACCACTTCACTCACACTGCACTCACTGGCCGTATGAATCAGAAAGATGGTCCAAGCCCCGACAATATTCCAGCTTCTTCTGTTAAAGAAAACAGCATAAATTCATGGTAGAAAATAATAGAACTTACAGGAAAAAATCAACTAGGTCCCATCACTCAGGGATAGAGGCAGTTGACATTTAAGTGCAATATGCTTCAATACAAGATTCTGTACCTTTTTTGAGCTAATAAACTGCAAACATTGATACTTCTTTGACCATTCTTTTTTATTCAAATCAATAAATGGCCATATGAATAGCTAGAGTAAATATTTTACTTTTTCCTGGTCTTATTTAGATTTATAGACTCATAAAATATTAGGCACAATCAGTTTTGTCATTTTATAGGCAATTTACCTGAACAGAAGAATAGCTCACAGAAATGTCCATAGTAGCTGGGGTTCAAGTGAAGGCCTCCTTGCAGTGAATTCAGTCCCTTGGTGTCTCTTCTGTGATGATCTTTTGTAATAACTAGGGACCAGTTGATTTATCATAGCATCTCTTATAACTTCTGTACTTTTTCTTATTCTTTTCCATTTATATTCTTATATAGCAACTTCTTTCCATTTTCCAGGTTTTGAAGAAGGTAATTTTGCTTTATAATATTAATAGTATTTATACAGTAAGAACAGTACTTATTACTCTTGCTTTGGGCTCCTGTGCTGTACCAGGCATTGGGCCACTTAATCTGTACAAATTGTATCTAATGGTTCTACACAGAAGTGCAATTCACTTTTGTTTTGTTTTCTAAATGGGAATACTTGTGTATATGGAGATTTCTTGTTTGGTTTGGTTTTCATTCTTCAGACAACTTCTTTTCTGATCTCAAATCACACAGCTTAGCTTCTTACAAGGAACCTCCCCATGCTTTTTCCTATCCCCCTTATTTAAAGATGCTTGCTCAAATAACCCGACTTTTACACCATATCAGGCCAATCACCATACCTCACTTGTCCTATTAAGGTAGAACAGCAATTCTGAATTCAGAAACTTGGTTCTTGCTCCTTGTATTTCAAGTTCATAAAACTGAACTGTGTAATATGGCCCATCCACAAATACTGAAGTGATATTGTTGCCATGGATATTTATGGAAAATAGATACTAGATGACTAAAGGACACCGAGACAGCTGCTGTGTGATGAGGTGTAATGGGGCAGCTGCGTACAGGGTGGTGTGAACAGATTCCCCCGAGAACTGCTGCGAGAACCTTCCAAAGGAGCATGGCATGATTGGGCACTGCTGGGACCAGCCTGGCCCAGAGCAATCAGAACCAGGTGCTTCTTCAGTGCAGAGGACACCAGCAGACATGAATCTAAGAGATAGAATGTCAAAAGTTACAAGCAGTGCAAATAGTGGCTTTAGCTGTGGGCCAAAGGAAGCCTCTGTACTTGAGTTCATATGGAAAAAATTCCCAGCAGCACACAAGCACGCGTGGATTGAACTAAACAAATGAAGGCAAAAGAGAGCAGCAGCAGCAGAGGAACGTCTGCAGATGGCTGGGCACTGAGCATGGAGGACTGGGGATGTCCACTCATGGGAGTTACTAAGTGCCATGAGAATTGATTCCTGCCCCTAAAGACAGGCAGAACACCACTAACCTCTTTAGAATTCTGTAGACCTAGTTCCACAAAGATGGCTCTTTCTTTACCCCTTTGCTTACACACCCATTCCTGTCCCAATAAAATATTTTTTTCTTAATGTTTGAGATGGAGTGTGGAGATTTCTCTGAATTATTATATTGTTCTGTTGGTTGGGCCTTTTTGCTCCATGACAAATAAATGGTGGCCTTGGCTTGATCCAATTTGTCCTCAAAAAGAAACTTTCATCTGTTTGTGGAAGACCTCATGACAGGTAAGGAAACTGTGAATGAGCTAGAGATGGACTGGTGAGTTTCTTCCTTGCCTTATCATTCTGTCTGTGTCTTGAAGCATAGTGGGTAATTTGCAGGGGTAAAGAACAAAAGTTAACACAGGAGACAAGCCGTCTGGACACCTGGCCCCAGCTCCTAGCCGCCTCCTTTGGGGAGACATTGACGCGGCGCCTCAGCACAGCTGGCCCTGCTGGAGTTGGCTTGAGCCTCTCAGGAAAGACTTTCAACCACTCAGATCAGTTATCGCTTCAGTACATGTGTTGTTAAAACCCCTTTTATATTTGGCAAAATTTCTGCTTGAGTAAACAGTTACATCACTAATTGCTAAATATGACATTATCAGATTGTTTTGACTTCCTGGGGATGAGGGTAAGGGGAAAAAAGTTAATTACAATTACTTTTGTCTCTAACTAATGGAAAGCAAAGTTAACATCTGTGCGCTGCCTGCTAGAAGGTTGGCAATAATCTCTAGGTATTAACTAACCAGCATGGACTAGAATGACCCAACCTGTAGATGTCAATGCTTTACCTGAATTTACCCAGCAGCAAACAAAATAGGGCTCTTTCACTAAAAACTAATTTTCACATTAAAAAAAAATCTTTATTATGGGCCTAGTGCAGTTAAATTGCCTGACACAGTAGGGAGTCCACACTTAGACTGGTAATATTAAGCACTAAGAAAATGCTTCAGGTGAAGATCAAGCAGCACAGTAATTCAGATCTCTGATAATTCCCTTCCAAGAAAATTCCACCAGGTGGCACAAAATGTCTCAAAGTACCACCGATCATGCTGTATGGACCACAGAGAAGTAGGGAAAAAAGATAAAGAATTGCCAAAGACGATAACAAACCTTACTCACTCTTTTCAAACACTTACCTTTTTAACCTTCAGCAGCATTTTCAAGACAAAAAATATGTATGTAACAACACAGGTGCTCTGGGCCTTGTCTTTTGAGTAATATCCAGGACTGGTAGGAAATGATACATGAAGTGATTTTCACAGAGGGGAAGAAAGAAGAGAGATGTGAAAAGTTGCCAATGCTCCAAATCTAATTGTCAACTGTGAACAGAAATCATAACAGAATATTCTTGTGAGTCTCCATCATACAAGATGTACTTGCTCTGACATATTGAGAAACTTTAGTGATTACAAAGTTTGTAAAGTTTAGTTGTAGACAAAACTGTTGATATTTCAATGACTAGGGTAAGACTTTATAGTGGAATGAAGGAAAGGTGGTATTTATTTGTCATAGATTCTGCCACCACCTCTTAAAAAGTAGTCCATTATTGAATTAGCTCAGCATGGGGAGTAAATGTATATTAGAATAGGTGGTTGAGTAAATGACTGCTTATGAATTACTATAGCACACAGTCCCATGTGGTCAGAATAGCCTGGGAAATAATAAGGAAAATGGTTTGGCTTTAGGACAACAGAAGAGGCCTCAGAATGGCTCACAGGCTCTTTCCCCTGTTGGCACCAGTATCTCTGTCTCAGAAACACTAGCTTGATATGTCTAAAGAAGGGCCAGGCATATATATTTGGAAAGAAAAAAAAGAACTGCAAATGGGAAGGGGACCAATAGATGGATAAAGGGGAGAGAGATAGAAGGATACTGAGAAGTAGGAAGAATTAAGATGTGTTATGTACATGTATCAAGTCTTGTGATTGATGTAGTCATTACGCTCTGTGAATGTGTACTAATGCATATACAATTTGTTTAAACTTCCTGATCACATTAATGTACTTTGCAATTAAAAGACTTAGACGTAAAAGTTTAGTTTCCTTTTTGGATAAACATAAATGATTCCCCAAGAATAGCAGGCTTTTGTTAAGAACTCAAGAAAATAAATTCCCATGAGTTGGTCTTTGAAGTGACCTTTCTTAAAGCCTTTTTCTTAGAGTGCGATTCTCTGGTCCTGCTGTAAAGAAGCAAGGTGATTGAGTCCTGTGAAACTTCAAGCATCCTTCAGACTCCTCTGTTTCAGAAGAGATGGAGAAACAAGACATAGGAAGATAATATAAAAATTGTCCTTAAAATAGGTCCTGAAATGTGCAATTTTAAATATAAAAAAAATCATAAGCGCAAAGAGACAGAGGCAGGCAATTAAATTAGATGGAAAAATTAATATTTTGTTAACTGGAACATGGAATTTATGAAGGGCAGCTAAATAAATCAGGTTTTAAATTTCAGTTGAGATTTTAAAAATTGTATTCAATGTGAAGCCAACAATGTTTCTGATCAAAGATATGATTCATTTTATGTATTAAGAAATTTCTAAGTAGCAGGTAGTGTAAAATGCATTAGAATGGAAAGAGGTTGAAGTACCGCTTTTCTTTTACAAATCCTTTCTACTGCTGGGATTTGTAATAGGCACCAAATTTGCATTCAGTATTTCATGCAAACCTTGCAGTGACCTGTGAAGTATTACATTCCTATTTTGATAATAACAATAAAGCAATACTTAAGAGAATTTAAGTTCCCTACCTCAGTTTATAATTTAAACGAGGTAGAACAGACAGTAGAACACTGTATTGTGTGATGCCCAGGCTGGAAAGATTCCTGGCTTGTACTAGTTACTGTTTTTCTAAAGGGATAGATTCAATATTAAATGCACCTATGATTATATGAGGGCTTATTATGTGCATCTCCAGGATCAGAAACCAAACAGTCCCAGTAGCCATCTACTGAAGAAGAGACAGAAGAATCAAAAATGGCTGTTTGTGTGCTGGAGAGCTGGAAGATCCATCCAGTAGTAGTGGAAGGTCAAAAGCCTGCAAGCCCACTGCAGAGTCAGTGGTGTGAGTTTATGTCGCAGGGCTGAGAAGCTACAGTGGGAGGCAGTGCACCATTGCCATTGGACATTGAAGACTGGAGCACCTCTGAAAAAGGGAAACTTTTTATTCTCTCTAAGCAACAAACCTACTGTTTGATGCCACCCTCATCTGCGTTGGTCTGCTTCACTCAGTTTGCTGTCCTACATGTTACTCATTCACAGACATGGCCAGAATTTATTAATTTGATAGGTGGTACTTAAGTCATGTTGACATATCACAATTAATAATCACATGGCTGTCCTGAGACATCTAGATGTGCATACAAGGAGACAGTGGTAGGTCAGGGCAGGTCAGAAAACAATGTCATGAGAAAACATTTTTTCTATTAGAGTGTAACCTAAGTGATTTCTATTTTTAATTATAAATTAAAAGTAGAAATTGTATTTGGAGCAAAAATCAAAGTAAATTGAAAAAAAGCCAGGCTTACCTGGAAACCAGTATTGTAAGCAATTGGAGAAAGGTCGTCAGCTGCCTAGAAGGCTCCTCCCTGTCCCCAGTCATCAGTGTGGTCTACTGTTCATTTCTCTGACTTGAACTGCTGAACTGCGGGATTTAAGTTTGGCAAACTTCCCAACATAATAAACTTTCAATTAAATAATGTCACTAATCTAAACTGTTAGAATGCTTGATGACAGTACCAAAGTAGAGAAACAATCCTATTTACATTTGCCTAACACTTTATTTTGAAATGAGTGGACATGGAAGCCAGGCAATACAATGGTGCTACGTCTTAGCAGAAAGAGACCCTGAATGCTGGCAACTCTACCAGCCTTTGATTTCTTATCATAGGAGGGCTGATTGTGTCTATTTCCCTGGGTATTTCATAGAGATAGATGGAAAACACACAATAACCCACCATTTTCTATAGTGGTGATAGCCTAAGATCTGCAGTGGATGCCTAAAACCACAGTTAGTATTATAGTATTATACCATATTATGTTTTTTTACTATATTATATGGTCATTATTTATATTATATGTTTTTTCTGAGATAAAGTTTAATTCATGAATTAGGCACAGCAAGAGATTCCATTTCATTTAAAGGATAATTATAATAATATATGGTAAAAATTTACAAAATGTGATAAAAATATGGTGATTATTAATTTTTAAAATTGTCATAAAAATGCATATTGCCATTAATCCCCTTCAAAACACTTCCCCTTGCTTGGAACACACTTACTGCACCATTCTTGCCACTTTCTAAAGTGGTTCTAGACGTCTTCTTTCATGAATGTTTTTAGTGATACTAGGGCTGCTGCCTCTGTGTCCTAAATCAATTCCAAATGTTTATCTGCCATGGTCACTTTGAGTTTGAAAAAGAAACAAAAGATGTCTAGTGTCAGATGCAGACAGTAACGTGGATGAGGACACCTTGGAATGCTTTTATGAGCCTGCCTTTTTGTCGGATGGCACTCAGCAGCAACATTCATTGTATCTTTGATCAACCCTTGGAAAGAGGACTTTCGGAACTCCTTCAGAAAGTGACAAGGGTGATGGGACAAGTGTGTTCTGAGTAAAGACTACTTTGAGGAGAATTAATGGCAATATGTCTTTTACTGTAAAAATTATTTTATTTAAATATTCACTGCACATTTTGATCACAACTCATACTTAAAACTCAGGAATTATTTCCATTACAAGTTTCCATGAAACATTTTTGGCCAAACGTTGACCATGGTAACTGAAACCAAGGCTAAGGGGTGAGGCTGTAGCAGAGATGTGCCTGGCATCTGTTGGTCTTGGTTGGGGTCATTTCCTTCTGCCTTCTGCCTTCTAATGCGGAACGCACACGTACCTCTACTTTCTGTGACTCCTTTCTTAGGAGAGGTGCTACACTTGTAACTTGACATTTCACCACCTTGGCATTAATTTATTTATTTAGTAAACAGACTTGGGGTACCTCCTCTTTGCAGGGAACTGGGGAACCAGAGTGCAAGGCAGGTTGGGAAGAAGAGGCAGCCATGTACACATCACGTCCTGGTGATAAGGTGAGTGGAGGGATGGGGAGGATTCTCTGTGCTCTCAAGAGGATGTCTACTTTGAAGAACATAATGGATCCTCCAGAGGAAGAGAGAAAGAGAGAGGTAGTGGTAAGAAATGTGAACTCTACCTTCCACTGGAAGGAGGATGACTGGTAACTGTGTTAACAATGAGTCTTCTCCTCAGCGTATCCTTGGGCCATGTAGAAGACTCTGGAAACCAACTTCTGTTTCCCAGGGAGACAAAAGACCACAGAAGTCAATGATAAAACATGTTTAGATTTTTCAGGCATACAGAATTCTGCCCTTGAACTTTATGATTTGTTCTCTGTTTCTCCCCATTGCTCTCTGAACCCCACCCTACTCCCACTAAATAAAAGATTCTGTCACAAAATGACCAAAATGCTGCCACTCTGTTTCTGGTATTACTAAGACAATGTTCCCTTAAAGGAACATTCAGCAAAAACACTACCTAGTTTTATTCACCACTAGGTGATGGGTTTCTCTGAAGTTGAGTTGGTGTTTTAATCATGCTCATAGCTTCCAAAATAGTCCTGTGCAAACTGTAGAAACTTCAGGATTCTCTAAAATTCTGTGGTTTTATGACAAAAAACATGCTGTTGCCTATACTACCAGCTCAGCTCTGCCAAGGGAGATTTGGATGGGGGCTTCCGTCAGTATTTTTATAGGGCTGAGCAGATGACTGTATAAATTATCTTGCAAGTTTGGATCTAGCTGAAGAGCATTCAAGTAAACAGAAGATCTGTATAACTTATCTTACTTCAATTGGATTCTTAGTGCTTCTAGATTAGAAATTTGATGTCATCTTTTTGGAGCTCTCTCTCTCTCTCTCTCTCACACACACACACACAGAGGTAGAAAGGGCAAAATAAATTTGCTTTGTCTTCATGTCTTCATGATATCTATTGCCTTCATGGCTCTGGAAATTCCCAGGATAATTATTTTAATGTATTTTTTCTAGAGAATCTTAAATACTGTTTCAAATGAGGTGTACACCATGCTTAAAAGAGCACACAGCACAGTATCTATCAGCCTGTGGAAAATGGTGTGTCTGAGACTGTCAAGACCCACAAAGCTTCACATTCTGTTTGTCTCCAATCAGGAATATGGCACTGGTGCGGGTGTTGCAGCCTGGATGGACTGTCAGGGTTCCTATAGCTCTACAAAGAGCTAACCAGGAAGATAGTGAATGAATTGAAGCCTTTGAAATAGCAGTCTAAACACTGACACATCATTTCTAATCACTTTCTAGTTTGTTCATTAATTTGTACATGTAAATAGTAATATTAAACATACCGAACCCTATTTCATAAGTTTTGATTTTGTAATAAACTATCTCCTTTTACAAAACAACAAGTTCTAGACATTGGCTGTTTCAGCTTCCTCTGCACCTGGGGTCAAGTATGCAATGAATTTCCACCAGTGAAGTCACAGCCCAGTCACCAAGTGGCAAAAGGAAAGCCACAGGAGAGGGGTGTAAAGCTGAGTGCTCGGCACAAAGCCGTTCCAGATGGACGGTGGTTATTTACTGTGAGCAGCTTTTTTGTGAAAGTATTGCTTAAAACATCACCTAGCCTCCTTTTCCTTCACAATATTTCCCAGAGCCACCTGATATCTTTTTGATGTTTTCTCCTGCTTTTGTCAATTGTTGCTTTTCAATATATAATCCTAAATGACCTTCATGCAAGACCCTGGGGAAAACCCAGAGATGGAAGATCTACCTTGGCTCTGAAGGACCTCACACTCCAGCAGATATATAACACAATTTCCCCGTCGGTGTGACAGTGCTGATGATTCTACTGGTGAAACTTACTCATGCTTGAAGAGGAAATCCCTGGCAGTGAGTCTGTGATTAGGTAGGACATTTTTTGATTTTTCTCACTACCCAGAAAAGAGACACTCCACACAGCCTCATCTTGCAAGAGTGGCCAAGAGAAAGGTAGACCTTTAAGAGCTACCTTGAATCTATGTCTTTGCTGTTGCATGAGCTGAGGGTTAGTGAGCAGTGAGAAGCTTGCCTTGGCATGGCTTGTGTGGTCTATACAGATGGCACTCCCAGTAGGATTGCACATCGCAGGGAGCTTGTGAACCATATGGAGGAGAAAGTTCTCTGGCTGAGAGTTCCGCTCCATTATTTCCCATTTGAAGTAGTGCATTGTGATCAATCCTGAATTATCAGATGTGAGGCAACGGGTACCAAAATATTATATTTGCCTTAGTTCGAATCACTTATTCTTAGCCTAATGATTACAGAGAAAATGTGGCATATTTTGAACTATGCCACCAAAATTCCCTTATGACACTTCAGTACTTCCAAGGGTATGGCCATCTAACTACAAAGACAGCCCCTGATACACAGTGACATTCTAGAAATAAGGATTGTCCAATAAACGCACAGATGTACTTTGGCTTCCGCACAGTGCTCCCTCTGGAATCTGGCTTTGTTACAGAGCATTAAACTTTGGGGATGGGGAATGCAGGGTTCTTGTCTTGCCAGCACTGGACTTTGGCAAAGTGCTGACACACTGCAAGACCTTTAAGAGCATCTGCATGTGACCCTCTGCAGGCTTTTGGATGTCTTTATAAACAAGCAGTGGACAGAGCCAAAGGCACACTATGGGGAGAGTGGAGAGAGACAAGGACCCTGCTGCAGATTCTCCAGGCCACTTGATGACAGGCACCTTTAGCATCAATGTCCGCTGCCCAGGAGACACTGGCCCAGCACCCATTGCCATGGAAAGCTGCACCCTCCAAATGTCCCCAAACATCTCTCATGTGTCCTAGAAAGGGGTACCACTAGGGTCCATCCAAGAAGGGGCTCCTTAGGGGTGATGTGTTTTGTTTGTGTAAACACGTGGGTTGAGAATCAAGAGCCCAGAAGGAAAGGATGCATGGCAATAGCATCACACCAGCTGGCACTGGCTAAACAACAAACAAAAGCTGACAAATTTGCCTGCCATGTGCATACACAACTTCCACAGCCTTCCACGTTGAAGAGGGTACTATCTGCTGGCAGAATGCCTGATGCTTATTCGTCTCTGATGTGTGCCAGTCCTGGAGGGGAAAACGGGAAGCTGCAAAGGTCAGGAGAAAGGGCAGAGTCTGATTGCATTCACAGCCTGCCCTGGGAAGGGGCAGCACATCACATGCTTGGCTGGACCCTGGGGTCCTGGCTGTCCTTCTTCTGGCTTCTGCATGTGTAGAACTCTCTGGGGTAGGTACCTCTGCTGTCACAGAGTTTGGGTACTGTTAGGAAATACTGTAGAACCTATTGAAGACAGGCCCCTCACAGTAATAAGGAGACAGGATGGCCCAGAAAGGAGAGTATGTGCTTGGTTTCTGGTGTCTGGAAAAGAAATGCATTTCATAGATTGCAAATGCAAACTGAGAAAAACTAAAGGGTGTGGGGCTCAAGAGCGAAAGGAGTAACAGGAGCGACCTTGGAACAACCCTTTGGCTTTAGAAAGTCTTGTGGAATGAAAGAGCCCTGGCTGGCCCCAGAAGTGAGCTGGGT